GAGGAGTTGGGTATTGAGTATGAGAAGCCCCTGATGCTGTATTTTGATAATCAAGTAGCCATTAATATAGCACATAATCCAGTGCAGCATGACAGAACCAAACACATTGAAGTTGACCGCCATTTTGTACGAGAGAGGGTCTCATCTCAAGAAGTATGCCTCCCTTACATCACATCCAGTATGCAACTACCAGACATCCTCACTAAAGCTGTATCAAGAAAGAAGCTAGAAGCATATCTATCCAAGTTGGGAATGATGAACATTTACTCCCAACTTGAGGGGGAGTGTAGAGAACACTGATGTGGGCCCCACATCTGTGGTTCCACTCTGTTCGTAGGGTAGAATGTATCTAGTCATAGCTGATGGTCAATCTGTTATTCTGTTATTCTAGTTGTTATTTACTTTTCAGTTTTATATTGTTGTGTTATGATGTAAACACCAAGGGCAGATGTGTCCTTTCATGTAACTAGCATAACATATAAATATTAAATTGAAGTGGCGGCGGCAGAATATTGAGATTCTGTCCTTCCTTTCAAAGCCTGTGTTCTATTGCTCTCTCACTACTCTTTCTCCTCTTTCTTCTTCACTTTCTCTTCTTTTCGAACCTGAAGTTTCTTAGTGATCAAGACTGATAGCAGTCTTGAATACCTACAGTATCAATATCAATGGGTTCAGGGACATTAATTGGAACAATAGTACCTGGATGCGGTGATGGATTCAACCCTTGAGAGCCCGATGGCATAGGTTGCACAACTTTAGGATGCTTTGTGTCTATTGAACTTTGTTGACCCCGGCCTTGACTTTTGTACCACTATCTACAAAAGACCTAAAATGGAGGAGGGTCAGGGGGAGAAGGCAACAAAACCTGTCTCTGTTTCTCCTCACATGGACTCTCCCCTTAAGGAGAAGTAGGAAAGAAAAACATCTTCAAAGAAAGAAACATCCATGGATACAAAGTACTTTTTGGAAATAGGGTCAAAGCAACAACAACCCTTTTTGGAAAGGGGGTAGCCAAGGAAAACACAAACAATGGCTTTGGGATCTAGCTTACCACGGGTAAGAGACAAATCATGGACAAAACATTTACACCTAAAGACACACATAGGGATAGGAAACAATGGAGCTATAGGGAAGATGAGCTGATCAGGGGACTTGTATTCCAAGAGACGAGATGGCATCCGATTGACAAGATAAGCCGCAATCATTACAACATCCACCCAGAACCTTTTGGGAACATTCATGTGTATAAGCAACTCCCAAGCAACCTCTAGAAGATGACGATTATTTCTCTCCGCCACCCCATTCTGTTGAGGGGTTCTAGCACAAGAACTACGATGAAGAGAGCCACAAGTTTCAAAAAATTATGTGAGGTCACCATGAAAATACTCTTCGGCATTGTTTGATTGGAAAATTTTAATCTCTGTCTGAAATTGTGTATACCATATGTTGGAAGGCTTTCACAAATTTAGAAACTTCTTCTCGAGAGTGCATAGGGTATACCCACGTGCATTGAGAGAATTCGTCAATGAAAGATATGAAGTATCTGTAGCCATTCTCTATTGGAATATTTACATGACCCCAAACATCAGAATACACAATGGAAAAAGAAACATCTGATCTTTTATTACATAAAGGAAAGATCTGATCTTTTATTACGGAAACAAGTACTTCAAAGACTCAAAGGACATATGACCCAAACGATTGTGCCACAAAGTAACTTGACTCTTATTTGACTGACTCAAAGACTCTGAGGCCGTAAGACCAACTTTATTCTCCAACACACAGAGACCATTCACCATGTTCCCTTTACTAATCATCATCCCAGAGGCCAAATCCTGAAAGACATAAGACTGAGGAAAAAAGGTTACTGAGAAGTTCAAAGAGTGTGTAATGCTGCTAATAGATAGCAAATTAATAGGCAGTTTTGGAACATGTAAAACATTTGATAGAGGCAAGCCAAATGGCAAAGATATATATCCTCGACCAACAATGGAAGAGAAGGATCCATCAGCTAACCTCACTTTATCTTTGCTAGAAAGAAGAGTGTATGATTGGAAAAAAGGTTGACTTACCAGTCATGTGATTGGAAGCACCAGAATCAATAATCCATGGAAATTCGGAGGTATCGGTAGACACATGGAATGCAAAAGCTAAGTTACCCAAGGAAGAAGCAAAAGAGGTTGAAGGAGTGGGTCCAAAATCTGCTTGTGTGAAAGCCCTACCGTATTGCTCCAAATGGTCACGGAAGGCAAAGATAATATTTTCCTTGAGAGTTCACAATAGTTCCTCCACTCTGTGACTCATGAGAGGCCAAGTTAGTCGAGGTGAACCTCCTCTGATTTGGTTTCTTGTTCTGTTCTTGTGCTGATTTCTTATTTAGGTCCATGTAATTCCCAACATGTCTCCTATGTGTTAGGATTTCTAACAATGAGTGCACCACATTTTATCTTTATCATCAACCCTTTTCTGACCATCTCCCATTCTTGCTGAATTGGTATTACCTCTCGCAACTAAAGCAATGGCCGCCCCCTCAGGGGGATTCATGGCAGATTTTCTACTTTCCTCGGATTGAACCAGTGCATACACCTCTTGGATAGAAGGGAGATCCTTGCTGCCCAAAATTTGAATTCGAACGGGTTCATACATGGGATTAAGCCCTAACAAAAAAGCAAACACCCGCTGCTGTGACACTCTGTTTGTAGGCTTTGGCATTCTTTTCACTCTCCTAGTCAATGTTCTGATAGTAATCTAACTCTTTCCAGATAGATATGAGGGCAGAATAGTAGGTGGATAAGCTACTTTCCCCTTGTTTACATGTTGCAGACTCGGCTTGCAATTGATAGATTCTAGCATAGTGTCTCTGCTTGGAGTAAGTTGACCTTGCTTGTTCCCATATTTCCTTGGCTGTCTCAGCCCACATAAAATTCTGCCTAACCGATGGTAGCATAATAGTCAAAAGTCATGACATAATCATGCAGTTTTCCTGGTCCCACTTATCATATTCAGCAGTACCTTACCTCGGGTTGTGATGTACAGCCGCATCTCCTTAGACCATGTCAAATGATTTTTGCCAACTAAAGGAATAATGGTCGTTAAAAAGCTCATAGAGTCAAGACTGCTGTTCATTCCTCCTTGGTTGAAAGAAGTTCCAGAGGTTGCAGAGTCTTCAGAGGCCATAACAAAGGCTGCTAGCAGAAGTTTCAGACCTACAACCCTTCTCCCACAGTCCACACACTCACAAACACACAACCCTCACTGTAAGATTTAAAATCAAATTGCAGTCACAGTAAGACAGAACCTTCTGTCACAGATTTACAGGTCTAACTGACCTCACAAGGGCTAGTTTAAGCCACATATAACATCTACAATTCTGCTGACGTATTTCTCCATCTGAACCAGGTCACACATGACCTACACAGGTTCTTCACCCACACAGTTTTGGATCACCAACCCACAGGAAGTTATTAAACAAGCCTACACCATTCGGCTAGGGCAGATTTTAGGATGTTCTTGGTAACAATACCAAGAATCAATGATAAAAAGCACTTCAGTGTAGGTTCCTAATCAGTTCGACTGACTTTTGGAAGTTACAGTCCAGAGAAGAATGGAAGAGCAGCCACCGACCTCTAGAAAATCTCAGTCAATCATCTGCCGATCTCAGACCTTCGATCAGATAAGACGCCTTTTACAGAGTGCTGTCCTGCTCTGATACCATGATTTCGATCAAGAGTGAGAAGAAGATAGAGACCAAAAGGTATAGCTAGTGGCGCCGGTCTTTGTATTTTTATGTTAGGGTGACAATATAAGAAATAAAAGAAAAGACAAAAGTGCCCTTGCGGCACATAACTAAGATTACATCAGAATTCAATCAAATTTCTGACTTTCTTTCTCTCCTTGTGGATTCAAGGTTTTTTTCTTTTCTTTTTTTCTTTCCTTTGAAGAAGATGGTGCTCTTCTTCCTAATACTTACTGCTATATCACTACCAAGGGGCATTCCTGCTAGTAAATTGAGATAAGGTCCTTGTTATTCCAAACACCATTTTTTACCTTACAGGAGCTTTTTCAGAACACCCAACTTGCAATTACATTCCAAACCCAAATTACCCTATATTACAAATTCTGTAAATAGGAACACAAACAATGAAACTGGATGCATACACTGTAAAGAGTATCCTAATAATCTCACATTGAAACGAAAATCAAATGCAAGAAACAGGGAGTTACACTTACCAGAGTAGGAAATGCATCAATGGATTGAATTACTGTTCTCATGAACAATAGAGGTAGAGGAGTTTGTTCAACCTGAAAATTGAAAAGGTTACCATAACAAGCTTAAAAAGTAATGATGGTATACTTTCTTAGGGATGATCATTACATACCAACTGATTCAAGGCCTTTGCTAGAACCTGCTGTGTAAAAACTGTGCGTTGTTCAAAGCAAGCTGAACAAGCATCCGTTATCTGGAACCACGGGAAGGTCATTTTTATTTGATGTCTAAATCTAAACAGACATATCAAAAAATATCTAAGGCACACATTTGATAGCCTAGAGGTATTGCTTGGTGCAATGGAAAATTTCCAGGCTGACAAGTGTGAAAACATCAGCTTTACTCTGAAAGTGGCTGCATTCTGCAAGAAATTGCCAAAGACTACCACGCCCTCAAAACCCCAGATAGATGGGACCAACATTTGGTCATGGCCCTTCTACATAATAAGAATATAGCCTATAAATGGAAATAGCTACCAATTCAATGCAGTAGCCATGCCTTGAATAGACACATTGTTTCATGGATACCACCAAATAGATTTCCAATAAAAGTCAAAATAACAATTGTCATCTACTCCACTTTTAAACTGTTCCAGACTTCCAAGATATCACAACCTGCTGGTCAATATGATCATCCTGTAGGTTGATGCTTGGAACAGTCATTCGATAAAAAAGATTAAAATAGTATATCGCTGATCTCTGACCAATCAATTGACAGGTCCACCCCTCACAAGTTGCAGTTAACAGGTTAACAGTATGGTCTTCGAAAAGGAACACACAGTCCTCCCTCAATAATTATAACTACCATTTTTAAAATGATTGAAAGAAGCATGCCTTTTCAAGAGCATTTCCATACTTCTTCTGGACTTGCATTAATGCAATTTGCAGTCAACAGGTCAACAACAACGATATTTCAAAACGGAATGCACAGCCCGTCCTCAAGAACTGAAACAATCATTTTTAAAAGGATAAGAGCAACCATACCTTTTTAAGAGCAATTCCATCTTTTTCAGGACTAATATCATGGATAGCAACCAAAACTTCGGCAGGTGTTAATGCTGGACCTGTATGAGCTGAACCCTGCCATGAAACATTCAAAATTTGTTTAACATCCATGCTAAAATTCTTCACAAATTATTTTATTTGATATTGTTCTAATTAATCATAAAGCAGTGACAGGGCAAAGGTTGTTGAACGAAAAGGTACCACGTTACATCATGACACTAATCCATTATGGAGAATAGTAACTTGGAAAAAAAATCTTCTTGCAACACCAGAAAAGAAATTCAAATGCAAGGGAAACTGGTGAAAGCACCCCCCAACATCCATGATGCTATATTTTTCATATATGGGAAAGAAGAATTTAAAAGATATTCCTCAGAAAAAAGAAGAATTTATAAGATAAAATAAAAAGACATCAACAGATCAATCACATGTAAGCATATTATTTCCTGTAAGAAATAGGTCAAAACATAGAAAAAGGCACCCAGATCTAACAATTGAATCAACATAACCAGATATATGGAGACCATGCAAGAATAAGCAGCTGGATTGACTTCCAGCCCTAACAGAAAAGTGTAGGAAAAGATGAACTCACGTGCCCAAGAAGCATATAAAAAAAGCACATATGCATAGTTTACAAAATAGATACAGATTCATTAATTCATACCTGCAATATGCGAGCAAGGGCTGCCTGAAATTTTTCTAATGGAAGATCAACAAGCCGGTGAAAAATAGGCAGAACCTGGTGTCATATGGGAACCACAATTTGCATATGTGAGAAATCCTTTCCCCTCTATCTTTATATTAATAAATGTAAGATATCATATAACAGGTATCAATGACATCAATATGGTTTAACAGCTTAACACTTATCAGACCAGGTAAATTTTTGGTGCCACTACGGAACACTTCTAATATTTGTCAACCTGAGACTATTACACAGAAAAGGATGCATAAAGTAACAGCAAGGAAGAATGTAATGTGTGGCACATTATTCAATGGATCCCGCTATCAAATATTTTGAAGGTAGTGTTATAGCCCTTCTGTCTTGGTATTCCCTCCCCCAGATGTCATTAACCTCATCTTCGATGGCTGCTTCATTGGGAATACAGGAAGATCAGGTTTTGAGAAACCAAGATTCATGCTCAAGAAATTTTGTTAGCCTTTTATGGCCTAATAGGAGATCCCATTTGAGTTGAGCTCCTATCCCTTCAAAGATTGTGATCGAGCTTGTTTCTTTACAAATCTGGCAGGTCCAGGAGGCTCTTCAGTGGATGTGCAATAAAGCAGAAGGGCCATCATTGCTTTATCATTTTATTAGGGAGGCTATATCGACCTTAAGAATGAACACCCAATTCAATGACTCATCCCTTCCTGCAGAGGTTTCATTTATTACTCTTGTACTTCTTTTTATTCTTAGTAAGATTTCTCTAATATGTTACTATTAAAAATGGCTGTAATTTCTTATATCGTGTCCATTATGCATTAGACAATTGGGATCATACAATATTTAGCATAGAACAAATGTATGAGTTTTATCAAGTTAAAGGTCCACTCCATATCGACTGTCAGAGCAGTACCTCTGAATTGGATTTCCAAAAAAAGCATGATACATCATGTTATGAAATAATAACCTATTAGACACAAAACAGAGGTTATATTCCATGAGGAACAATTCATTCATTGATGACATTGAATATTTTGAGATAATCAAGCAGAGGTTTCACTTGATTAATGTATAGCTCTAGCAACACAATCACACTTTCAATGCTCCAGTTACATGCATATTAAGTTTACTTCATCTACTAAATTCAACTCATCTAGGCCTAGACCCAACCGTCTAAATCACCTACCACAACATGATCATAGGCCATCAGGTCTCCCCTTACTACTTTTGACCTATGTCCCTTCTCCTTTTGGGGCTTCAACTTGTGCCAGATTGTACTTTTCATTGAAGAAGTCATTATTCTTTGTGTACATTCTTGTTGTTAATAATGAGAAAGAAGAAAGACAAGATATATTAATGTTTATCCAAAATTACCAAAGGACCCCAAATATATACATCTGTCCTTCCCAAACCTCACATTGGCAGGAGTCTCGTGCACTGGGATGCCCTTTAGAAAAGACATAAATGCCCCTTCAAAGATGATAAACCCATATATGCCTTATTACAAGCAATACCATCAAGAGATGCCTCAACGTGACTTCTTTCTTTACCTTGGTTCAATAACAACAACAAGGGAAAATTGAGGAAACTGCCCATAGAATTAGAGCAAGATGCACACAATGGAGAGGTGCATTCGCTGCCCTATGTGATGGAAGTCCACTTAGCTTAAGGAAAATTTTACCAAATACTTGTAATATATATTATACATTATAGGGGGACTAAGGGGTGGAGACAGGATTAGAAATGAAATTATTCGAAAGAACCTATGAGTAGCTGATATAGGTGATAAAATGAGAAAGTATTATACCATAAAGTTCTTGGAACATTAATACCTGCCACTAGCCTAAGCAACTTCCACAAGGCAGAAAATTTTGTTTCAGCCAACCCGTTTTGCTTACGAGTTCCAACATAGGGACTGAAGACCAGAGAAATATACTCACTCCCAATTTGTGAAGTTCTTTTGAAATTGTTATAAAATTCATTTTTGGGCTTCATCAAATAAACCGATTTATATCAAGAACACAATAATTAACAGATGTAACAGAATAACAATATCTAAAAAGAGGTAGTAGAAATGGTTTCCTACAAATCAGAGTGAATGATAGTACAAGGAATTGAACTTTTATTATTGCTTAAAGGATATGATGTTGGATAATTGCATACTCAAAAACTTCACACCGGAGTTATAAATGACTAGACTCAAACAAATGAAGAAAAACATATTTCAAGTAAGAAAAACACACACAACCGAGTCTCTTACACCAAAAGTGTAGTTGGCCTTTATCCTCGCTAGTAGTACTACTAAACACTTTAGACTGATAAGATGCTATAGAAGTAGCTTTTAAACTATAGGAGCTATAAGCTGCCACTTTCACGACCACTCTCAATAATGGTGACATGGAATCTCCTTATCTACTTTATCAAGAAACTTTAAAAAAGTTTGTTGGTGATTTTTTACCAAGACAGAAAAGGATAGTGAGGAAATACATGAAAACAATCTACCCTCAATATATTCACCATAATCAATGATCCTCATAAATTCTTCTAAGAAACCCCCTCCCAAAAAAAATTCTTCTAAGAAACCCCCTCCCCAAAAAAACTCTTCTAAGAAACCCAACTCCACATGGTCATATGCCATTTTAACATCTATTCACTTGAAATCAACACTTCATCAAGAGTTTTGCCCACGAAAACATGAGTAGGACTTGCAACTGTTTTTAACCTTAAAAACAACGCTTTTGCAATTATGGGGTTGAAATGAGACTAGTTGAAAAAAAAACCTTCAACTCAACAATACCATACCATTATTTTCAGGAATCAATGCATGGAGCATCACAACAAGGCTTGCCATATTTCTTTATTTTTGATAAAAAAAGGCTTGCCATATTTCTGACACATGGAGGGATGAGGTTGCAATCTGAGCCATTGACCAAGCAGGAAAACCATCAGCCCTAGACATCAGATTATTGTCCATTTGGAATGGCCATCTATTCAATCATCCAGTCCACATAAGGCATACATCCCACCTTTTATTGGTGTTTCCCCTGTGGTAATATTGGTTGTTGAAAGTTCCAATTGTTGGTGTTTACTCAAAAAGATGGGTTTATTATGGCAACATGGCAAGGGGTTTCAGGATCAAGTTTTCCCCACCAGTAGAGGATAGCAAGAGGAACATGCATTGTTTTCAAGACTAGCTGAGCCCCAATCTAATTTAACACATGGAAGACCCCATGGTTGTGCATCTTTTTCTCCTAAACAACTCAACTAGAAAACCTACTCCCATTACACCTAAGCCCTGTAACTAAGCTTCCAAGGTCTTCTAGGTCCCTGACCCTCTTCTTCATCCAACCAATGTCTATCTGTGAGTCTCCCTCCACAGTAAGTCCCTCAAATCCTTACACAGAGACAGTGTTAGGTTCCTGTCGGAAAATAACAGCTCTCCTCTCACTAAAACTCTTGATCCAGTGGTGCTTACCAGAATGGAGAGCATGACACATTTAATCTGTAATGTAACTTGTAATCATCTACCTATTCTTTTAATCAATGAACAAAGATTCGTTGTTGCTGATAAAAAAAGTCCCTTGATCCAATAGCTATGGTATGCTTAGGAAGATGGCCATTACAATTATTCAAAACAAAATATCAAATTATATTCATCAACAGATTCATTCATCCCACTTCCCTAAAATGAGCGAATTCATTAAATGAGAAAGAAGTCATTAAGTCCCTCAAAGGGAAAAAAAAGATAAACTTCAACATGCTAAATGAATGTGTTACAAATGGAGCACATTCCCTTACTTCCCAGGTAATAGGGGTAGCCCACTATGATACGCATTTATTAGACAATACAGAAAAAAATAGTTTCAGGTAAAATCTAAGGTAATTAAAGTGTTGGTATTATGGATAAAGTAAACAATTATTGATTTTTGGGTAAATGTGTACAAATTGGTAAACCACAATCTCAGATAAATAAGGAACCTCCTTCTCTTTCAATACCAACGTATTGCATTGTACAACATCAGTTAAATTTTGGCACGTAATATAAATTAAAACGGTAACAAAAAGAACCAAATGAAGGGCATAGGAAATAAGAAAAAAAAAACCTCTTCTTTTGAAAGTGAAGAAAGCAGAGGAATGAGAACCGCAGCATCCTGAAAAGGAACAAACATAAGCACAATAACCCGGATATTAGAAACCTTGCTTTGGATGGTAATAAGAAAAACAGAATGTAAATTATGAGATGATAACCTTTAGTTTAATTTCATATAAATGCTTGACAGTAGCAATCAGATCAGCAGAAGGTGTTGTCTCTTCGGTCAGTATTTGCAACACCTTTAGGAAAAAGTTATTAAAATCAGTGTTATTTAGGGATAACAATTACAAATATAAAGCAAAACAAAATAACAAATTGATTTTATTAATAAAGATCTATGCTTGTACCAGCATCAGAAGATTTTCGCTTCCTTGTGGTGGATCAGAGATTATATGCAGCAACTCAGTATAGGATGATCCTAGGGTCCTCACTAAGATAGGGATATGCCTATGGACAGCCTGCAATGTCTCAACATGTTCAAAGTATAAGATAAATAAAAATACACATACTGTCAACTCCTTCCCAAATTTTTCAATTAAAAATGAACAGAAAAAAATAAGAATCACATAAACAGAAAGGACCTGCTTAACAGCCTTTGGAGCTCGACCGTAAGTATCAAAAACAAGTTGAAGAAGACTTGGTTTCTGTGAGAAAAATGAACCAACAACACTGATTGTTTTAATGTCAAGCAACTTTTTAGAAAAATGAACCAACATCACTGATTGTTTTAGTTAATGTCAAGCAACTTTTCAGAAAAATGAACCAACATCACTGAATGTTTTAGGCTATGTTTGGTTTGAAAGAAAAGGTAAGTAAAGCAAAAGAAAGGAAGGGAAATATGTACAAAACTTGTATAGGTTTCCCTGCCTTACCCTTCCTTTCCCTACCATTTCCTTCAAACCAAACATAGCCTTAATGCCAAGCAATTTTTTAGTCATGGTCTTCTTGGTCCAATAGGGAATGATACATAGAACCAATGAAACAAAAAAGAGAAATAAATAAGACCTTGGTGCATAATGCAAAATAGAGGGACATGTGGCGCTGAGCTTGAGACAATGACACAGCTGCAACTCTCTGAACTGGTTGTATGCCCTTTGTAGAGTCACTTTCAGAAGCTCCAGGTTCTGAATTCTGAGAACCACTGATAGATGTTTCCTGGCTTGCAACCTGTAAGAACAAAATGAGAAAATAAAAACAAAGGGCATGGAAATAAAGATGTGCTTCAGCAACAAAACAAAGGCACAGAAAAAATCAAAAATTGAACTGAACGTGAAATGAGCATTGCTACTCCTGACACCTCCCCCCCCCCCAAAAAAAAAAAAGAAAGAATCGATGAAGAATTCAGAAAAAAGTAAAATTCATTTCTTATCAGGAAAATATCTTCATTGTTTTCAGAGAACAGTTTGCCAAGTTTCACATTTCTTCTGTATTGGACTTTATCGGATTTGCATATTATAATAACCAGGATATACACTAGGTATATTTGCTTCTCAGCATTTTTTTTGAGAAAATTTAACCAGAATTCATTAAGATAAAGAGAGGGAACATGGGAAGATATACAAAGCAGGGGAAGAACCCCTACAAGTTACACACCAAAGGGATAAAGGAGGAAGCTTGTCGCTATACAAATGCTCCAAATACACACCAAATTTAGCTAGGCCATCTGCAGTATGATTGTGTTCCCTAGGAATCCAAACTAAATTAACATTTAAGCAGTCCAAAGAATCCCAAATTTTTTATCATCCTGATTCCGGTGAGAGCAGCCATCACTTCAGCCTTTGTGGAGTCAGCCAAGCCAATTGGACCACTAAAAGTCCAGCATATATTGCCCCTTTCGTCCCTTACTGTACCTCCAATACCATCTAATCCAGGGTTACCTAAGACACTACCGTTGAAGTTAAGGGTCATCACTCCTTCACTGCTGGGGACAGGGTGCCTCAAGGATGTTAGCTGGGGATGAGGGAGAAACAGAAAGGGGTAAACATCTCTATTAAGATCATTGACTGAAAGTCCTTTGAACAGATCTGAATTCACCGTTCAGAGGTTGCAAAGGTAAGTAATATCTGAGATTAACTCCTCCAGGGTTCTGCTTTTATTGTCAAAGAGGCGATTGTTTCTTTCATCCCAGACACCCCACAACACTGCATGTAGCACTGATTGCCAAAAGACTTAACCCCTTTAACCCCTTTTACTTAACCCTGTTCCTTGCCATTGATGCAATGTGTCCATAATGTGTTTTGGAAAAGCCCAGCTATAACCTGCCATTTTCAAGAAGTGGGACCATATCTTTTGGGTGAACCTGCAGTGAAGAAGGATGTGATCTGCAGATTCACCTTCGCTGAAGCATAGAATACAAACATGACGAGATATGGAACGTCTTCCCAAAATCTTTTTCTGCAGGAGATCACAAGTATCTACTTTCTGGAGACAAGCTTCCCAAACAAAGAAGCAAATTCTTAAAGGGATGTGGCTATACCAGATTTTCTTATAAGGAAAGGAGGAATGCTGATCATCAGCGATCAAAGCCCTGAACATAGACTTAGAAGAGAATTCTCCATTTGGGTGTAGGGTCCAGATTTGGGTGTCAGAATAAGAGGGGGAGATGTAGGCTTCTTTGAGGGTCTGAATTAGGGCTATTAAATCAGAAATCTCTGAGTCCCTTAGGGGTCTTCTGAGGTGGAGGTTTAAGGAGTTCTCGGCAGTTTGGTTTGGAAGGCAGGAAGAAATAGTGGCTTCTTGGTCGAGAGTAAGGTTAAAAAGCCTAGGGAAAGAGGCTTCCACGGTGGATTCCCTCACCAAAGATCTTTCCAGAATTTAATTTTAAAACCATTTCCCACTTTATACCTTATAAAAGGAAAGAAAGAAGTATGGATGGAATTGAGATGTAGTGTGGACTTCTGTATTATGATCCATCAAGTTAATCAAGAGGTAACCAAGAACACTGGCAGAATCAGATGGATTATGCAACAGTTGCAAAGGGAAAAGAAACAATGGAAGCAGAAACCAAATTTCCTCAGTTGTTTATTTTCTTTTGCCTTCTTTGTTTATTTTTTGTTGTTTTCGGGCATTTCTGTTCATGTAGTGGTATGGAAAGTTCAAAGTTCTATGAAATTTAAACAATAAAAAACAATAATAATAAAATAAAAAAATGTATGACATTTAAAGACAAGAAAGTAATCCCTAATGTCTCAATAAATCCTGAAACTCTAGTTTATCTTACAATAGAAAATCAACAGAAATTGAACTTCAGGAACTAAACACATGGAAATGAAAATAGAGTTCCATACATTCCCTTCTGTTCTCTGTTCAGTGGACCATGCTAGTGAAGGATCTACATCTGGAATGTGCTGATCAACGACTGACAATAGCATGCTTGTTGCAAACTGCTCAATGCTTTCAGATACATATGTAAGAAGATAAAGCTTGTTTGCCACCTGTCCCAAAATAAAAGGTTAGAACTATAAAAACAGCTTTTGGTAAAGAAAGGAAGACAAATATTTATAAAAAAAAAGAAAGGAAGACAAACAAAAAAGTATGAGGTTGGAAAAGAATGTTTCTCAAATCTAGCTTTTGGTAAAAAAACTTAGCCAGTCTCAAGAACATCATTTTTTATCTGGTCCCTAGCATCTTAGCCAATCAAAGATGCCTAATGAGCCATATTTTGCAGAGTGTGAATTCCAAAGCATGTTCTTAATGGTTTGGATTAAGGGACTGGAAAGAAATGATGGTCATCAGGACAAGCTCAGCATTACTATTAGTTTTAAGGAATCTGTAATCAAAAGGGAACATACATTTAGTGATTTATATTATAAAAAATAAGGGGACATACATTTATGGAACAGGTTGCTGCTCAAAATTCCAATGAAAAATAAATATATATTTCTCATGCATATTTGAAACTTTTACATCAGGTGGCATGCTAAATTTTGAACTCTGTAATCTCAATGGAAAATGTAATTACTAATTAGTCAACATACCAGCCGGATAGCCTTTGCCCGAATTTCATCTCGAGAATGCACAGCACACTGAAAGTATTAGATGAACAAGTATAAAAATTAAAACAATGAAGTAAAAGGTTAAACAACAGAGGATGGATATGCATAAAAGCATTTGCATGAGTTAATTGTGCCCTGGTGTTGGTAGAGACAAAGATTGTGAAAAAGAAAAGGCCCTTACAGGGATATTTATCAGGTTCGGAATAAGCCAGGGAAATGAAGGATCCAAAAAGCAAGGGTAAACAAATGGCTAACATAGAATGCCCATTTGCAACTTCTTTTATTACTTATTTTAGGGACAATAAAAGAAATAGGAAGAATATAGGGACCCTTAACCCACAAGCTCTGGTTCAAGCAGGATATCATAAACAGCAGATAAATAATCACAAATCATTTATACACATCAATCAGCATCAATGTCTTGTTTGATCTTTTCTCCAGCTTTGTATCCAGCATTTATCCCATTTCAAGAACTGCCTTACATATACACCCCATGTGGAGGACAAAAACAAGAGCCAGCTGAAAGAGTAATGGTTCTACACAGATTGTCAATCAATAAGCTATAGATACCAGTCTAATGGTATTGCTTCAAAGTACTTTCAGGAACTATTAAAGGCTATACAGATAGTGCAAAGATGATCTCCTTAAATTGCTAGAACTACTATATGATTACAATATTTTTATCAGTAAAAGTTAAAAACGTTTATTGATGTTAAAATATTAGTATGCATACAATGGTGCAATTCACTCCTTATAGTTAACTAGCCTAAGCTGGCCACTGATTTCAGTTTTTCACAAGTTTCTTCCCTGGCAGAATAAACACAAAATAAACAAATAAAATTCATTTCTTTTCTCCCCTTGTTTTATGAGGAGATTGATTGTTATTTTCTGATCTGGGAGACAACATAATGACATATAACTTGTGCTCAGCTCCAACACCAGCATTTTAGCTGCATTTAGCATCATGCCAAGAAATATTTGTACCGCTTCTCACATTTCTCCAAAGAAAAAATGTGTTTGGTTGGGAATTCTTGAGAGAAATGGGCCCATTTAGAAAAGAAATATGGTGCCTCCAAAAAAGAAGTGCACGCTTCTTCTTGGAATAACTTTAAAATAGGATACATGTGTTCTATCCACACATATAAGTGAGGGCAAATATGCAAAAGTGCCAAAATTTAGAAGATATAAGTTGCAAACCTTTTTTTTTGTGATAAATATATAAGTTGCAAACCTTCATTGTCATCTCATTCTCCACCACAGCTCTTGATAAGGGTTTGCAGTCAACCAAGGTAAACTAGCAACAGTGAATTGGTTCTGGCAACTGTGACTACTATATTAGAGGAGAGGAGCTCTGAGAATGGAGACCATAGAGATTGAGAAGGCAGCAAACAGTTAGATCAGATTGGAGATCTTCTATGTTGTCAAAGAAATGGTTGGTTTCGTTCCTTGCATGCACCAACAAACCCCAGCACAAGTCCTCTAAACGATAACTTTCTCTTCTTTTTTAAAACCCCAAATGGTTGCTCTTTGTTCCTCTTTTTAATGAGATTCCTAACATCTATAGAGGCATTTTGATTCTTGGAGCCAATCCCTTGTGGCCAAAATATAAAATTAAGATGTGTTTTTCATACGGGGAAGTCTGTTCCAGGAACTGTGCATGTGTTTTACTAGTTAATTGTTTTATTTCAATTATCAAGTAGAATTGTAAAAAGTGCATATTTTGAAGGTGGTTTAAAAATGTTTGGCGATCATGATAGTGAGTGCATGTTTTTTTTCTATGTGAGTACAATGTTTGTTTGGTGTCTATAATCTAGTTTTATACTTCAATGCGGTTCAAACTAAAAAATTATTTTAAGAATGAGGGTAACTAATTCCAAACATCATTCTCATCCTGTGAATCAGAAAATCTGTTTCTCAGGAACATTTTGCCAAATGCGTTCAGAATTCCTCAGAAATGAGAAAAAAAAAAGAGAAATACTTCGTTTCAGAAAATCTCTCAGAAACTGAGATACAGGAATGATGCCAAACAGGGCCTTCAACCCTGTTTATCCGGCCAAAGTAGGGTAATAGGGTAGATATATATTTTGCTGGATAAGAAACATCTCAGAAACTTTCTCAAATGTAATCATGCCATATGGATGGCACTAACTCCTGAAACTGAAAACCCTAGATCTTAACTCAATGTGATTTTAGAACTCTGATATGGAAATCACATGGATTTGAGATCATTTTAGTATTTTCATGATTTTTTCAGAGAAAATTGCAGATAATACAGTTTAGATATTGGGATATGGTACAATCTGTTGGGAGTTTTTAGGGGCTTGGCTGCTATTATTCAATTTGTCTGATATTTATGAAGCTTCAGGAAGTAAACTTGATTCTGTGAAGTATATGGTGTGGGTTTTACCCCTTCTATTGTAGCACCAAGTTCCATGTACTGCATTTTGGGCTGTTTGCTAAGTTGATGTGTTGTTCACATATAGTCCTCTGTGGGAGGTGTACCAAATGCTGCTATAGTTTGAAGCATGGTGAACTGTGGCTGCCCTTGGGCTTGTCTCGGTTGCTTCAAGAAAAGATAGCCTCATGCAATCACCTAGATTTTCATGGTGGCTTCAGATTCAGAAGCAAATATTGAATTTGGTATTATCCAGGGTCTAAAGATAGTCCAAATGTTAAGATCACCATGGTAAAACTTGATGGCAGCAACTTTCTTGAAAGTTCCTAGTCAACCAATTTGTATATTGAAGGACTTCAATGATTAGTGCATCTCATAGGTTGATAGGTAGGGGCAATGTTTTAAAAAACAACCCGGAACCGGAACCGTTCTGGCCACTGGTTTCCGGGTCAACGGTTCAACCATCCGGTTTGAATGGACGGCCCATTCTGACAAAAAATTAAAATAATTAAAATAAAAGGCCAAAACTGTTGAACGGGTCAACGGTTTGACAGCCTGGGTCAATGGGTCATTGACCAATTCAACGGTTTTTGGCTAGGGGCTGGGTTTGGGATAAAACGGAACCGGTTGCCCGGACGGTTCCTTGGCTGAACAGTCCGGCCATCCAGGCCAATGGCGGTTTGAAAACATTGGGTAGAGGTGCAACATCAGCCAGGTTAGTCCGACTGCAACCTAAAAGAGTCAGGTTGGGTTGGGTTGGGTTAACATTGGAAAATATGAACTGAACTTAACTGTGGGTTTGGGTTAAGCCTTAGGTATTGGACAACCTGAACCTAACGTGTCTTCATACATACAAATTCATATAAATATGTATATATGCATGTATTATGCATATATGAATGTATGTGTATATGTATGTATGCATCAATGATTTTATGTTTAAAGGCAATAGATTTCTAGTGTAACATAAATACTTCTAAAGCACCATTACATTGCCCCATAATAAAACAATGCAGAAGTCAATAGATAAAAACATCTGGGAAATATTTAGACAGGCTTTGCTACTTTGTTATAGGAGATAAGCCCTAGTGAAGAAATATATGGCACACTGCTTGTAGTATTCAACCTGATGAATGCTACAAGCTTCTTTGCAGAGTTGATAGGCTCTAGTACTTATACAGGCTTCCCTATACATAAAAACAAAAATTTTCAGCAAGATGCAGAATGGGAAATATTTATACAGGGTAGATAGATTCTGATGATGCTACTCAAGGAGAAGAGTATGCATCTGGCCCCAAGCATTCCACAATGATATCTGCCAAGCAAAAACTGGTGTGTGGTAAAAAGACTACTCCAACAGAGGAGACCAATGAGGTTGTGATTACTATAAAAAGGCTAAGAATTTTAGGGACAGATATTTGAAACTTTCTACCTACTTAAAACCAGAAAAGTTTAAGGGAGCGAAGAAAGGGAATGCAAATGATGCTACTGATACAAACTCAGTCATCTATTTATCCTACAGGAAGTTCAAACTTCAAATGTTTTAGCTGCTATCAAGATTGAAATAGAAACAGGGGTTAAGGAACAGTGTAACAGGAGTTGGGTGGTTTAAGGTTTTGCCTATCAGCCTATCATCTTCAACAATGAGCAGTGAGCCAATGGCAAGGATTTTCAAGAACAGCAACCTAGAGACAAATTCCAAGTAGGCATCTTTGCCTCAGACTACCTGTAATTCTTGCCACACTTCCATGCTGCATCTTACTGAAATCCAAAGTCTGGAAGTTCTTTTATGTTAATTATTCTTGTGAAACATCTCAACTTGCAAGCATACCAAAAAATGAGATAGGATCCATCATTTTAACAAGTCAATACCATGGGTAATGTGGTAAATTAAATTGACCCATACAGAGTCAGATGTGGATTTGTGGAATCCATCACAAATCTCAACTAAAAAATTCCAAACCTAAATAGGGTTATCCAAATAAGACTGCCAGAAAACATCTTCCTACTATACATGTATATATGTTTACACATATACATTTTTTGCTCAATTAGAGAACAGTACCTTCAAAGCTATATCCAAACAGGCATGCCTATTGACAGGACGCCCCAAAATCAAGCTCCATACAGCACCAAGGCCCTGGGTGACACGATCACCATCACGCATTTCCTTCCCATGGTGACCAGAATCATCAGAATAGCAAAGATCCTCTAGTAGTTTCAGAGCAGAATCAGGCAAAAGAGGAACTTCACCAAGGAATCTGCTAAAAGACTTATCTGAAGCTGGTAGTGTATCCCTCAAAGACTTTGCCTACATAACAGAGGAGTAAATAAACTCATGTGCATTGGAAAATAAATTTGAGAACCAGTAGAATCCCTACCATGGCAAGGAGAAACTTTTCATATATATTGGCAGCATTTGATATGTTTTCATCTGAGTCAGAGATCATGAGAGCATGCAAATGATACAGGACATGCATTGCAAGCTCGTGCCCCTGAGAAAAGGAATAAACTGCATCACGAATCTCAAATATTTAGATGACAAAAGTGATTCAAAAAAAATCATCACATCCACCAAAAGGTTCAGAATACACAAACTAGTTTAATGTAATACTGTAGAAACCTTAAATTCAAAAAGAACATCTTTGAAAGGAAAAGAATAAAAGCAACTAGCAGCATTACTTTTTACCAATTTTCTTTTATATTTAAGTAAATGCAGCTACAATTTATCATCTTGTAGAAAGGTTTAAGGACCACATACAAAAAAGTTACATGAACATGCATAGATGTTAACCAGAATATACAAGTTATATGTAAACAATAAGCCAAAAAAAATCCAACACCAATAAAAATTATTTTCTTCAAAGGGAGAGGGGGAATAATGTAGGAAACAAATAAACAAAGAACAGAAGAGTGAAAAGGAAAGATAAGTTACTCATTGTCCAAACTATGGGCACTTCTAGAATCAATTAGACATTTTTTTTTTATCGGCATCAATTAGACAATATTTGAAACCTAAAATAAGAACATGCTATCTAGTGTTGCTTCAACGGTTCAATTGCACAGAATTTCTCCTAATAGGTTTCTAGTCATTTTTGAAGAGCACAGGTCTGTGTTGCTGAGATAGCTCCACTGTAAGCCCAAATAATCTCATCATCTGTGCAGTGCAAAAGGCCTCCTATTCCAGCCTCGGGAGAAACTGCTTTTTTTTGTTGATCAACCAGAGCCTCAGGAAAAGCTTCTAAAATGAACTTTAAGTAGGGGTGCAACTTGGGAGGGCTTGGGTTGGGAATTTGATAAATTTTGAATAGGCCTGATACAGTGCAAATTCTTCAAATCAGGTACTGAACTTGAACTCCTAAATTTAAGAGAACCAATAATAAATTAAGTAAAATATATGTGAATAGAAATTCGCATATATGCATATCAGCAAGAAAATCAGGTGCTGAACTTGCTGATATATGCATATCAGCAAGTAAAATATTTTTTTTATCAGCAAAAAAATTGGAATTATACTAAAATATGAAATTGGTTAATACAATGAAAGGGTATATCCACCTAAAATAAAAACCCAATCTCAAAAAAGTTACAAGATTACAATAGTGCCCAAAACAATTGTTGCCTATATACCCCTTGTTTTGCTAAACCATCAGCCATCCCACTTGCTGTCCTTCTGACCCAATTGAAAGTTATGTCCAGGTCCTGCTTGATGCTTTCTATTTCCCTAAACTCAAGCATATAGATCCATGGCACAAACTGCTTACTCCTGGCCCAAGAAAAGATCATTTTTGAATCTCCTTCTTCTTCCAATTGCTGAAAATTTGATTACTTGGAAATTCATAACCCTTGTACTAGGTGAACTAGCAAATTTCCTCAGAAGATTAGGAGTGCTACTTGGGCAGGCCTGGGTTCAGCATTTGTTAAACTTTGAAAGAACCTGACATGAAAGCCCAGATCAGAAAATTATTCAAATTGGGTACCTAATTTGCATCCCTATAGACAATTGTATATATCTGTGCCATATTGCATCCCAACAGTCAACCCAGGACATCCATCAAATAGACCATTGAGATTATCCACATGCCCACCCTAGGCTTATATAAGCTCATATCCCACCCTGCGTGGGAGTTTTGGCCAACTAATACTGGTAAACCAAATTGGAGTTTTTTCTTATTAAGAAGATTTTCAGAAACAAAAGCTTTATAGTGAAAATATGGCCAAACACGTGAGTGTGCACACACACACATTTAGTTAAAAAGTGAAGTTCTACAAAAGATTTTCCTTTAAACCCAAAACAAAAGCTTTATAGTGAAAATATGGCCAAACACGTGAGTGTGCACACACACACATTTAGTTAAAAAGTGAAGTTCTACAAAAGATTTTCCTTTAAACCCAAAAGTTAAGGTCTTTGCTTTCATATTTCCTCCTTTCGGGGATTTACAGGGAGTACGAAAATGTCCAGAAAAAGTTGATCCACATAAAAAAACCAATCACCCATCAACTCCCTCTTCTATCTCCTGACCCCCAGTATCCATGTCCTACTCTTTTTTTTTTTGTGAAAATTTTCCCTACTATTTTTAATAGATAAAAATTAAAGTTCTTAAAAATGCCCAGTAATTTAAAAAAAAAATAAAGAACATGTGAAAGGTTGAGGCAAAAATGATAATCTACAATGTCCAAGAAGTATGTACCTTCTGGTGTTGGTAATCCAAAATAATATGTTTCTGCAACATCCCCACAATATCAACATTGGCATCAGTCTGCCAAATAAACAAAGTATGTCAGGTAATAACTGATGGAAGATAACACTTACAAGTTAAAGAAAAACAAAGAAAAAACACATAGTACTATCAACAAGAAAACCCAAATTGTGAAAACAATATATCTAAATGTAGTTTTGTTTTGTCTGCAGAAAAAGAAATTCATAATCAAAATCCAATGCATTAGAAATTATTCAACTCTGTTCTAACAACTTACTTAGACCTATAGCGATTGACAGGGGCTATGTTCCATCTTTCCTTCCATAGCCTCTAGAATGCCCCAAATAGCATACTTTACTTTCATTCAGGACTTCTAGCGACCAGAATTTAATCAACATGGGAGGACTACATGAATTGGTGATTCCCCCCTAGAAAGCTTCAGATATGTACACAATAGATTCCACATAAAACTACAATGCATAAAATGATGCTTACAATATCCTTTCTTTCCTTGCATAAAATAAATACATTAGTCATATGACCTCCCTGATTTATTAAGCAATCCACCGTCAAAATCATGCTTGATCCTCATTTCCATGAAAAATTTGAAAAGAAAGAATGAAAAAACCATTATCCAATGTCTCTGCTACCTGGTCTTGTCAGGGATGCACCAGATACAGACCTAATATTTGGCTTTTTTGGGCATACAGTGGTGGCTCTCAGACTCAAACTTCGTCAGCCCAAGATTTTACCATTACTCCAAGCAATGGCCATCTCATATCCATGCAAAAAGAGGAACTCCAATTTTTGTATACTAAAACATTAGCCAAACACAATGGCCAATTTATTAAGTGATCTGCTGCCCTCCAAGGCCATAGAGAAGTGCAGTAGCTAAATCAAGAGTTGGGAGCTACTATAAATTGGATACTTAGATCAGCTAATGGTTTAGCAGATGGGCTGGCAACGCAAGGGATGGGCAGAGACAACTTGTGTTGGGGTGTGACTGAGTAATCTCAATGTTTTGAGTGGGCAGAGTGCATTTACATTGGGGTGTGATTACGTAAAGGGAGTTTAAATGTAATCTCAAATTTTTAGGTGATTAGCCAAGACCAACCAACTTCTGCACTTTTATGTATCACTTTCTGGTTTTCAGTTAAAAAATTACTGTTACCCATAAAAAATCAATAGTTTATTTCTAAAACTACATTCTTGTAATCCTCACAAGACAGGTTGTACATATATTTCTTTTATCAGAAACAAAGATACAGCTTGGTTAGCATCTTGTTTGTATTAGATTACCTACCATTACTTGCCTGAAATGCCTCTTGACCAGCTTCTACCTAGATGTACAAGTGCCTTTCCTTGAATCTCTGACACACTGTGCAAGCCAACTTATTCTTGAAAGAAAGAGACTTTAAAAAATAAGTCTAGGAAATCCACTAAGCTAAATTCTTTTAAGTGGAAAGAACGAAAACAATTAATTAAAATACACGTTTTGAGGGTCAGCGGGGATCATTTATTTTGGGTGACCACATTTGAGGAACAGGAAAAATACCAAATCCTAACTACAAAGAAGGGATATGGGGAGGGGGTGCAACTCCCCTTTGTGAATTTAGGGTGCTTTAAGCACATCTATCCTTGCACATATTTAATATTATTTTCCACGCATCAATAAAATTTTCAAATTAAATTTAAATAATTCAAGAAGAAAAATAAGAGCCAAGGAAGCATTAGTCCTTAAAGATACATTAAGGGCAAAGGCCTATTACCACTTCACCGTCTTTCTTCATTAATTTCTTTCCATGTATTTTCCCTCCTAATTAGTGGATACTATTTTATCAATGGCCTTCAAGGGATATTCTTAGGTGAAGTAGAGAGAGATTTACAGGTGAGTGGATGATAAACGATGCAAATATATCGTGGATGATACATAGTAAGATGGGCTCTTACCTACTTCGTCAAAACATCAGGGAGGCTACATCCTTGACTTCCACAGTGAACATCTTGATCCACTGTATCCAGAGAACTACAGATTCTTTAAGAGACAATGTAGCCAGCCCCAAAACAGTGTAGTCTCCCAAGGTAGATTGTTTAGTCCAGCTGTCTACACTATTGCTTGTTCTGAAGTTGTAATTTGCAATGAAGAAGATAAACTGCTTTCACCAATAATCTCAATATCAATAAAAAAAACAACCTCCATCTATGTCTTCACCAAAAGCTAGATCAAATGGTCCAACAACTAGCTTCACAACAACCAGGGCAATTTTTATAGCAGCAGTTGTATAGGTGGGGGCTTTGTCCAGGAGAGGTTGTTTATGTTTGCCACCCCTTGCCATTTTTTATCTTCTTTTAAGTTGTAATTTTTGAGGGGCCATTACTTGGTGTAAATGGTAAAATCTTGGGCTGTCAAGCATAAGAACATGGATTCAAGTCTGAAAACGCCACTTTGTGCCAAAAAAAATTCCAAAGGTTAGCACTGTATGCAGTGGACCAACATTGGGTAATGGTGTTTTTTTATTATAAAATTTGGGTCTCCACACTGCATACTCCTTGTGTACATTTTCTCTTTAATTCATTCATTGCATAATTATCAAAGAAGTCCAGTGATGATTAATCAATAAACAAGATGCTTAAATATAATATCTTAGTCACAGCCATGAGAATGGATAGCAGTTAGAGTGCTTTTCAACATGCACCAGCCAAAAGCTACTTGATCTAGCCTTTGGGAAGAACAAAGCACATTCTCTAAATAATGATGTGCAAGAAGAAAATATAACAATACAATTTAAAGCTTCATCCATAATATGATGAGTTGAACTTTGAAATCTTACCACTCCATAGACTACATAAAGGTCTTCATTCAACTTACCATGTCACAACATCAATATTACCAGTACATGTGAATGAAGGAATAGTTTCAGTAACACTTTATATAACATCAATAACAATGGATAAGGCCAAAAAAAGTACTTAAATAACTGTGGAGAGAAATGGACCAATAAAATTGCACATTGTCACTACCTGAGCAACCAAGTGGGCAAGTAATGTCATGCGTGTCTTGTTACAGCCAATTGCCTGCATTTGCTTGTATGACTCAATAATATGTTCAATTGCTGATTTACAAACTCTTTTCTGCTGTTCTTCTGCCAAATCAATAAAAGATGGAAGTGGTGGTAAGTCCTGAGAATCATCAGTGGCAGATGTGCTAGGGATAGCTGGAGATTGCTGATCAGAATCCAGAGAAGAAGATGCATCAACTCCCTCTGTCACTGTAATTTCTGATGATGATGATGATGACGACGACGACGATGACGATGCCACCAGGTCGTCAACAACAGTACGAGCAGGGGATAGAGCATTGCCCGAAGTAGTATTGACCTCTTGAACTGGTTCAATTTCCTTAGTTTCATCCAGAGCCTCCAAACTTTCCTTAGGGTTTAGCTGCTCAGTTGTGGGAACCACTGAACTTTCTGGGGAGTTAATATCACTTTTGGATGTTGAAGGTACTGAAAGACTTTCAACCTTGCTCGCTGCCGGAATAGAAAGAGGTCCACTCAAAGAAGTAGAACCATCAAATCCAGATTGAAAATCACCAATATCTTCTTTCATGGGCACTGATTGTGCACCAGCAGGTCCAGCCACACGCCGTGGGTCAAGCCGACGAGGATCCTGAGAAATTAGATGTGCATTATTTTCCAATTAAATTAATCTAAAATGTTAAGCACTATGGTTAAATAAATTGTTCAGTGCAAACTGAAAACTAGTTGAGTGATGTCCAGTGGACAGAAATTGCAAATAATGACAAAATTTCAGTAGTACCCTCCGAGGATCACGTTTAAAATCTGCAGGAAGATTGGAGACTGCAGACAAGTCAGATGATGACATGCTGATTCCCATTGTTGAAGAAGCAACTTGGGTAGTTACCACTGGAGACTGCAAAGACATTACTGGAGCAGTTGGGGCCACTTGAGATGCAGTGCTTGAAGAACTTGCCTGTGAAGCTACAGGTGGGTTCCCAAATCTGCTTGCTAAGGGTGGGGTATTCTTTGGTAAGTGTTTCATATTAGCTATGACTATATCAGCCAACAGGTCAGGATGGATTTTCGAGATGAGAATTTCAAGAGATTCAGCACCTCTTTCACCTTCAGCCAATAAAGCACCAATCATGGCAATCATTTGTTCAACAGGCGTCAGATCATTGTCCAGCAAAGGCACCTTAGGAGCAAATCCGTTTACACCAACATCATCCTGCATAGAATCACCTGGCACCTGAACAGACAAACCTGAGTTGCCCAAAGGGCCATAGCGAGTTCGCTTAGCAGACACTTCATCAGTTGAGCCTTCATTATCCTGAAGTAGAGACCTTTTCTTTGCCAAATCCACAGAAACAGGATTTTGGGATGATGGTTGATCCTCCTGAACATCAAAAAATGGATGCGCTGTAAAAATTAAATGAATTTGCACTAAAGAATAAGAATACCACTATAGGATAATCATCACCATGCAAAGCTCAAAAATGAATTGTTTGTTCTCTACACATTTTACCTTGATGGATCGAGCATCACGTGAACGCTCCAAATTCTTTATAATCTTACCAACTTGCCGAATAACTTGATCAGCTGCATCCCCAGCATTCATTGTTCGCAAAGCCTTGAGTAATTTATCCCGTGACTAACAAAAGAAAACAAAGCAATATGTATGTATGTCAGGTATGAGGTGTAGTACTGATGATCAAAGTAAGTCATATCTAGAGATAAATGTAGGGGAGGATAGCAATTTGGAAACAAGAATTTTGATTGTTAATAATTTCCACAAAATAAAGACCGCGAAGCCTCCTCAACATGCAAATGGTTAAAGGAAGAAAATAACAAGTTGACAAAAAGGAAGAAAGTGGAACCTACACCTTATGTAATTCTCCTCTAGAAGATAAAATTTATTTGAAATGAGAATAATGAATGACTAAAGAGAAGCTACCTCATTAATAAAAAGTATTACTTAAATCCAGTATAATTATCATCAACAAGATTAAGATATAAAAGCTCTATACAGTATCAACATAATCTAATATCTGGTGGATCAAGCTGTTAGCTGCTATCATCATGATTGTACCTTTTCACTCTATCTCCAAATAATATCAAACCATCAAGAGAGAAAGGGAGAAGATAAAACTAACTTGTTTTGAAGAGATAATGAGCATATTTAGAGGTAAAACCAATTATCATGCAAATAGCATGTATTTATCTCAAGTTCAAAATCCAATCCTCTGTCAGTATACCACATGAGTTGAAGAAATTATCCCATTGAAGATACATCCTATATTATGATAGATTAGGATGACTACCTTTCATCTGTCAAATCAGTGAATCCACAGGGCCCAGAAAAACCAGCCAACTCAGGAGTCGTTTGTGTTAAAGGGCTATGCAGAGCAATTCATTTAAGGGATTTAAGGTAACACTGAAATCTAAAAATTTGACTAGTTTAAATGATTAATGTGTCCCTTTTTCAGCCAAGCCTTGTCACTTCCAGATGTTTACAGAAATCAAATAGCAGTCAATTCAACTAGGTGAAACATTTTTTATTAACGAGGTAACCTTAGGGTTTGCAAAGCAAAGCAGAACCATCACACCTATATCTAGAACTATGATTCCCAGATAATAGAATTCTTTATAGACAAATAATGATGGAACGGGATTGTAACCAAAAGCAGATAGCTGGAATTTAAGGTTGAGTTGAGTTGAGCTGCTTTAACTATGGGGATCATGAGATCACTTACCAAATGACTCAATACAGAGTATATAGGGCATCAATGTATACATGGAAATGCACTCACTAAGCCTCTTTTCCTTTCAAATCAAAGAAACAAATAGAAATCCAGAGCCAATAAGTCAAACAATATAATAGTAATCATCATTGTCTGAGCCTTATCCCAACCATATGGGGTCCGCTACACGCTACATGAATCTTGTTCCGCCATTCCATTCTGTTTAATGCCATATCCATGAAATTATGAGAACTTAAATCATTTCTTATTACTTGGACCCATGTCCTTCTTGGTCTAACCTAAGCCCTTCTAGCCCCCATAGCTGTCAAGTCAATGCCTAGGTGACTAAGCACTAATACAAACTCACCTCACCCAAACAACTGAAGATTTAAACATAAGACACACAACTAGGCAACCAGGCTGGTGATTTATATGAGTAAATATTTTTTATCAGCAATAAATAAATATTTTTTGATTTTCTAATTGCTTAGTTCATATCTCTTACAGTACACCCTGCTATACAGTATCATTCTTTTTAATTGTAAGATGTACTGAATGCTGAATTCTATTATATTTTATTATTTTCTCTTAATGCTCGACCATGGGTCTTGAAGACCAAAGAGACTCAATGTCTCAACCGAAGAGCCTCGATTTTTGAGCTTGAACAGAACAACATGCATGTCTTCATATCTTCTTCTTTGCAGTCTACCCCTCCTTTTCTTAGTTTTTTTCTCTCTTTTCCCCTTCCCTGGTCTGTAACAGGGGCTCCACCCCCCTTGCTCTTCCACTTCTCTTTATTTTGGTTTTCTATCATTCTTGAAGTAGGAATTTGCCGAAATAATAGTATCACACATAAGGGTCTGAAGGTAACAATAAAATCCATCGCCTAGGCATCTGGGCACCCTTTGGTCACCTAGCTTCACCTTGTTGGCTCAAAAATTATCTAGCTCCTTCAACTTGCAACATGTCACTTCTTCTTACGGGTGCTACTGATGGTCTTCTATGCACATGATAAAACATCTAGTATAAATTTATCACCTAATGGAGCTACTCCTAGGTTCCTTTGAATGACTTCATATTTGACCCTTCCTAACTTTTCCATTCATCCATCTCAGTTCCATACAATTTTTCTTTGCTATTTTTCTGGATCTGGCAGCTTGGCTTGGTTTATATCATGAGATAATGAATAAGTAAATAGCACAAAAGAAACAAAATAGAATGTCGGAAAAGTTTTACCTCCATAACGGTTGGATGAGCACACCTCAAGAACCCCAAAAAGGCAGTCCTTATAGAATATTGAATACTGGCACCATGACCACCCTTTATTGTCTCAAAATTTGGATCAAAACCCAGCAGTGCAGAAAATATACTACTATAGTGAATGGGCCTCTTCCTTGCAATGGCTGCAAGACTGCCAACCAAAGATCAATGTTGTTAGCTAGTATCAAAACATGCAAGGGTGTACCATACTAATAGCATTATAAAACATGACAAATATACATATCGTTTAAGATGCAAAAAACAAATTCCTACAAAATTTCCAATCACATTTACAATTAAGTTATGGAAACCACTATAGACCTTTGTAATTAATCAAATTAACAATAATAAAATAATAAAATGCAGATGTCCAAAAACCTAACACAACAAGAGAACCTCCTAAGAAAGAAGGGCATTTCTTTAGTTTACAGCAATAGATTTTTTCTTAGTCAATAACAAAGGATTTCATTAATTAATAAAAAAGTGTACAGAGGGAGGAGATAACCTCTCTTGTCTCCCCCAAGCAAGAAAAAAACATATAAGTTACATTTGAGCCCAAAACAAGTTCTCCCTTTTCACCCCTAGGTTTGCTAGCCCATTAGCAAGGGAGTTGGCACATCTCTTAACCCAAACTACTTTAACTTCCATGTCTTTTGTCAGTGATTGGAATTTCTTCTTCTCATTACTGTACAGCCACAAACCATTTTTAATAGTTTACAGCAATAGATTTCAATAGTTTTATTTCTTTGAAAGGTATGGATTTAATAGAAATTGATAGGAGAAGCAAGAAAATTACAAAATCCAGCCCCATAGATGGGAAAGTCTGGAGAGCCTTAAAGAGAAACTAAACCAAAATCATGGAAAGAAAAGTGAATAAAACCACATTTGTTCCAGGACCGAAGATCCTGAATACAGGGCATTCATCCCTTCTCAATTTTGAAAGGCTACTAGGCAGTTGGCAGACCACTGGACATCAAGGAAATGGAACAGTTTTGAAATGGATAGTTGAAATTCCATGTTTGCCAAGAAATTGATAGTTGAAGCCATAAGTGAGAGAACTTCTGGTGAATAATGCTTCATTTGAATTTTCTATGCATTTAATCAAAGAAAAAAGGGGTCATTGATTGGTGCTATGGTGAAATATCAAGCGGACAAGTGTGAGAAATTGGGTTCAAGTTTGAGAGCAGGAAAAGCCCACGTTATGGCGTTTCAACCCCTGAGACCAACATTGGGAAATAGCCTTTTTCTATATAATCACAGGAAAAGTTTAGATCATTTTGTTTCCTTGAGAGAAGGAAAAGCCCACGTTATGGTACCTCATAAGTCAAAGCACCTTGGTTCATTACAGCCATCACAGATATAGTTTAACCACTACTTGTAGCTTTTCATCGATGTCAACAAACACCACTTCGGTAACTTTTACCTAGTTTCATTCTCAATATTTCATTTGCTTTTAGTTGTAAATGAATTTGCAGACAGAGAGAACCATAAAAGCTTTTGTTTTCACTTAGACACACACACACACACAAAGGAACACATATAAATAACCTTGAGTCCAAAAGAAACTAAAAAGCCTCAAATACACATTAGAAGCTCAGAGAGAGAAAAAGAACCTCCCAAGAATACCATCTACCAAATAGTAGCAACTTGCCAGGCTGAAAAAAGGAAAAAATACCATCTACCAAATCCCCCCCCGACTTCAACCAACCCAAGTTACTTCTCCCCACTAATCATACACAGAAAAGAACGAACCAGGTTAAACAACCTCTCACTTCTTCAACCAAACAAAAAATAACACTCTTTTTAGGACTATTTTCCTTTTGTGACAACTCCCCTAGCCTCTGGTGCTATTATCCTTGGGCCAAAGGACCTCCTCTGCCCACTTTTCTTTTTCTCCTGGACAGTCAATCGTGTCCAGTCCTCCTATAGTGTCATGCACTCATGCTCATCTAAATGTCACTTGTTTTTCATGATCATCTAAATCAGTATCCTTCTCTCAACCATAAAAATTTCCATACAGGCCTCCTAAGTTTTATTAAAATGCCCATTAGTTTTTGAAGTTAACACCAGCACCAGCATCCCAAAAATCTAGGCACAAACAAAATTGAGAACTGTGAACTTATCCAATCTCAGCATACATACCGGAAGAACTTTGACCAATCAAAGCACCCCCATGAATTTTGATGAATACCACCTGATTGGTCACCTCTTTTTATGTATGTATATTACCTTCAATAGGTAAACAACATGAAAATTTAATGAAATCAGCACGAATACAGATAACGCTTTTTGGATCAGTCTCCTTAAGTTTCAAGAGATCTTGAAAATATAAATTAAATAGCTGTTACAGTATATAATAAATTAAATAACTGTTACACTATATAACTATGACAGTTTTTAAGTTGGTTCAAGGCTACCAAGCTTCTTGAACAATTAAAACAATCCCAAGGCCAAATAGAAAGAGTCCTTAATAATAAAGAAGTTTTGTGTTAAAATAAAAGAGGGAAAAAGTAGAATGCAATACAGCCCAAGCAAAAGAACAGCCCCAAGAAGCAACTTACATGCATATAAGAGCCTCATCATACTTGCAGAACAAAAGAATGGAATAACAACTAGTTAAAACATCAGAAGCAAACTAATTCTGCCCAAACTATCAAAAACAAAGACTTGCATACTTCACCAAAAGCCTTTCATTTCCCACTAAACCTACCAAAACCCAGCACCAGACTAGACAACCCACAATAGGCTGACTAATGGCCCCTATGCCAACACTTCCACATCCTCATCTGCTCCAGGACGACCCTCTTGTAGGTAAATCTGGCAACCAAACCACCTTAAAGAGCACTCTTTTTCTTACTAACCCTTCCTCCTATCACACAAAACTTCACTACCTCACCATCACTATAACAATAAACCTCAGTGGGCCTTACCACCTCAACATTGCTGTCTTCAATGACCATTAGGAGGGATACTCCAGTCTCCACCCTCCACCACCTTTTTCATCCTATGCTCCCTCTCTTCTAGCTGCTTAAATATAGAAGGGACAATATCTTCCCTAACCTAAGTTTGTACTTTATATTCTTTTTTTGACATATGTAACTCAATTAAAAAAGAGGGAGAGTTTCCCTCAAAACATGTACTGTGTTTAGCTTCTATACACGACAAGATATATATATATATGTGTGTGTGTGTTTATGTATGTATATATGTGTATATATATATATAAAACAAAGCAAGCAGCTAATCAGACTGCTGCAAGGAAAGATACAGATTGGACACAGAAAGCATTGTCAAAATGATTTTGCAAAAGAGCTGATAGTTGAGATTCTTTAACTCTGTGGGATTTGGACCACAGAATGATGGTTTTCTCCACTCTTCCTGTTATAACTCCCTTCAGGGATTCTTTATTTTCAAAAATCATGCAATTTTGTACTTTCCAACGATTCCAGCACAGGACAAGTAGGACTAAGTTCTAACTTCCAAAAGACTTTACCCTTTGACTAAACTTTGAGTCGACCAAGAAGAGAACAGAGTTTTCAGATATCATCGTAATGGACCCTGTCTATTGAAGAGCTGAAAGAAATGAGTCCATGTGCTATAAGAGAAACTCCAATGAATTAACAAGTGGCTAGCTGATTCCTTATGGCACCCATATAAGTAACATATGTTGACCAATGGCATGCCCCTAAACCTGTAATGGGCAAATGGTAAGAATCTTTTCCAAAATAGCAGTCCATGCAAAGAAAATCACCTTGGATAGAGCTTTGACCTTCCAAATCCCGCACCAGGGCACTAACTCATCACCCAAGTAGATAAGAACTCCATGATATGATTTGACTCAGAAAGGTCCTGACTTATCTGGTCTCTAATAACAGAGACACCAGTTAAAACAGTGGTAGACCTGCTCAAACATCTTAACCAACCTTCCATCATCCCAAGCAAACAGATTTTTCCAGTCTTGGGAGTTCAGATAATCTTGTCCCCTATCATTTCATAAATTTATTTTTGATTGTAGCATCCTCATTGTATTATTCATTTGTTATTTTGAAAGGCAAAGTAATGCATTGCTGAAAAAACTACTATAAACAAGGCCCAAGTACACCAAGGCTCTATACATAGAGACAAACTGACATCCATCCATCCATACATACATACATTATGCATAGACACAAGTACATGAATATCAATCAATAACCATAAAAGATATTAGTTGTAAGCCTGTATAGGAGTATAGGACTGGAACTGTACATCACATCATGAAAAGCTGTTTCAGATGTCCTTTTCTCAAAAAAAAATGGAGCAGGGTTAGTCTTTCTCTTTCATATGTCCTTTTTTTTGCAAATTCTGTAATGCTATCTATCCTTGAATGTACATAATCTACATTTCATAACCATTAATAAAATTTTATGTTACTGACCAAAACAATAATGCATCCAGCCTGTTAGATAATTCTCACGCATCTCTAAACTGTTTCAAGATTGACAACCAATAAAATAGGAAATAAATGCCCACAACCCAGTATGGTTTGAGTAATCATCAGACAATTCCTCCTTCCTCAACCACTAATGATTAGAAAAGGGACCATGAACTGTTAGTGAGATTTGGAGCAAGCCCATTCCTCCTCGGGTTGGTAGTTTTTGTTAGGATTTGGGAAACTTTCCTGGAAAGAATCTACACAATTGATCTGCTTCAAAGAAAGAGACTCAATCTTTGTTTATCCCCTAATAGATGTTCCATTTGCAAAGCTGATGGGGAAACTGGCTACCACCTTTTGGTTTCTTGCCGTTTTTCTAAGACTATTTGGGAGTGGGTTTTTTCCCTTTTTGGGTGTATTTGGGTTCCCCTTGTGGATGTGCAAAGCCTGTTTTCACCCTCCTTCTTCAGTTTGCCTAAGAAAAGAGGGAGAATGATGTGGAGATGCATTAGGGCAGCAATTTGTTGGTCTTTGTGGGAAGAAAGGAACTCACGTATCTTTCCTGACAAGGAAAGAACCTATGAGAGTTTAACAGAACTGATTCTGTTAAGGGTGGTCCATTGGCTGAAATCTGTGGACCTATTCACAGATGTCTCACTGGCTGACTTGATGAGAAACTGGAAAGAGATAGCTAACATTGCCCAATTTAAGAGGTCTTCTAGCCCCTCTTGGACGTC